CATGAGGAAGTAGGTGGACTTGGCTCCATGACTTTTTTCACCCTTTAGGGTGTGACCAGCAAGAGCGGACGAATCGGCAATGGCAATCCGCAGCCACGCCTTAGAGAGGGAAAAGCCATAGAGCCGGTGACTTTAGATAATATGGTTGGTTTAATTTTATATGGAAAGCCTCTTAAGAAACCAACTGTTGAACGTGGCTCCAAGGTCTTTCACTGGCACGTGACCATTCGGTCGACTTTGATCAACTCCTTCAAGCGCTTTGTCGAAAAGTCTGCAGACTATGCGGTAACTCCATAACATCTGCAGCTGTCGCAGGACATTACGCAAAGACCTTTCTGTTCTGTAACATTCTCAGATAGAGAAAATAAGGATTAACTTTGATAGGTGGCTTACTTAGGATCAATTGGCAACTTGTAATGACCAAAGATTGGATGCCAGTGATTATGACTAGACTGCTCGCCAGGTCGAACGGCAAATTCTGGAAAAAGTAAAAGTTTCAAAGAAAAATACTACCCCATCAAACAAAACGAGCACCTGTACATTGGGCCATAACCAATCCAATAACCCATGTCCAATCGACTATGCGACCCTTGACCGTCTAAAAAAATTCATAGTTCCTTCCGAGATTATCAAGATCAATAGTGGGACTAACCTCTTCATCTAGATATCCCAGATGTAATTATATTTCCGAGTAAATTGATGGTCTTTTGTGGTTCTATATTTTCCACTACGTCCGGTGAATTTCGCAAATGCGTGAGACATCGATTGAACAGACCAGATGTGAGAAATGCATCCAAATTCTAAAAGTAAAAGAAACTATCAATCGACTTGAATAAAAATATACAAAAAGATAGTAGGTAGAAAGAAATTGAACTTACCGCTTTGCTCAAGTGAAAAACGATGGCAGGACACGTGAGAACTTGACTGATAAGCAATGGTACTAATGTATCGTCGCTTTTGACAGACTTCATCAGTATCGAGAAGAGAGCATTTAGCGCCTGAGCGCTTAACAAGGGTTTTTGCTCATTCGAGGCAAGAAATAGAGAATTCTGGAAAATTCGCAACTTTAAAACTTGGAGTAAGAATAAAGTTGATGAATATAAACGATATACCGCAAGGCGTGAGAAGTTGGCATGTTCGCCTAAAGAGCAACACATTTTACTGCACAGATCATTGAGCACTTTCTGCACCTGAAGACCAAGCTTTTTCATTTCAAACAGTCATTTCGAAAAGCATGAAAAACTAAAGCATAAGGTAATCAACAAATAAACCGCGAATCCCACTCACCTGGGGTGCGTTCCGAACAAGGAGCCAACCATTACATGATCCCATTACAACCAAAAAATGAATAAATGTTTGCCATGTTTTAACCTCAGCGACACGGGCACCCTAGGAACAGAGTCATATGAACGGATATACAGGACAAAACTGATCTTTTCAAATATCCTCCGCTTTATTTTGAAAAAAAAAACAAGACAAATCAAAAGACAATGTTGACTTGTTGTTAGGGCCAAGTGTTGCTCAAAACTAAGTAATCTTGTCAAAAGATTAGGTTTTCTTGCTGACAGAGCCACTAAACTGTGCTCCTTCCATTTCACCAAGGTTTATTCCCCCTCTAGCGCGAGACCCAGCAGTTGTCCCGCCTCTTTACGTCCCGCATCCTGGGATTTATAGAGTGAATTACCCAAGAAAAACTAATAGCCATCATCATGCAGTAGAGGGGAGCCAATATTATTTTGTGGAGATACGAAGAACTCCCCCGGAAGTCCCCTTTTTGCATACGTAGAGAATAAAGGCATCAAAAGGGCAGTAACAGGAAGAAATTGAAAGACTGCTAGCCTTACCGAAATATACATGAGCGATTGAGGAATGACGCAGATGATATCAGAAATAACTTTGCTAGCCGCAGCTATCGTAGACTTGTTCAGGAACAATGTAGCCCAGTTCGTATCTTTTGCTGACGAGTCCAATGACAATATAATGTGACGACATAATTGCGCAAATATCTGAATGCCACCAGTAAGCTCCTTTCGATTTACTCCATCTTGCTTAGGCACTTAATCTGACTATCATCGTTGCACGGTTTTTCTGACCAATTATCTTAGCCTTCAAATGAATACAGGAGAATGTGTAAACAACTGCAAATTCCTGCCTCATTATCGTCAGGAAGCCGTTTAATCCGCATAAGAAGCCGAGCCCATTTCAGCACTTCGTCATTTGCAAGCAGCACTTTTCCCGTTTTCTCAAGGTCAGTGAATGCTGCCAGCTTCTCCGACACAGTTGAGCTAAATGGAAAGGTGTTTACAGCTAGGTTCTTTACCTACAGAAGCTAACCATAAGCTGAAAGTATACAAAAAACATGACACCGCATGGTCTCTGTTCCAATTCCTAGGGAGATGAAAACCACGGGTGCGTGACTTCATCTACGAAAGCATACCCTTTAAATAAACCACTTCCCGCGAATGGACCCATTCCCTTCACACCATCATGAAATTAATCGCGGAACATCACTCCTGTTAGAATTAACCCTTTGACGACAATGCGGATTTGCACGTAGCTTGCTCAAGGGGCCACGCCTTTTTTGGCGCGCCCAACTCTCGCTCAAAATTAGGCAAAATTGTCCCTCAAAGCAGTTTCTTCTGGGAATTTCCGACTTTACAGTATACCAGATAAAGCTGCAGTTCCAGGCTTTCATACTGTATATATTTCAAAGAATTTCAAATTTGGAAGGGGAACTCGGGTGAAAGGGAAGGAGGGCAAAACCTCCAAAAGTTTAAGTGTCCAAGAGAATTTTCGATACACTTCAAACCCTTCCCGTATCTGAGGGCTATGAGAAGACGAAGAAGTCCTGATTAGTAATTAATCTTCAGCCTAATAATGCAAAACCCAATTAATATGCTGGCGAGCTAAATGGCACATTCTAAAATTCTATATAAATTAGCTCTTAATAAACATTTCTGTAAGCCGTGCTAGTCATAGATATTATGAACTTGCTTATAATTATTGGGGTGTTACAAATGTTTTGAATGCGCAAAGAAGGAAATTTCACCACAGGGTGTCACTGCCATCAAGGGTTAATAAAATAGCCTAAACATGGCTAGAAAATCAAGATTAAATGAAATTTAAATTTGGCTACAGCAGTATTAAAATCATGGGTTGCGATTCCTACCACCTCATTTGTTGTCAGATGAAAGGACCAACCGGATGTCATTCACAAATCGTTGTCTTGACAAATAGCCCCTTGCTAGCGCCTGTAATTTCACGGCTACTTCCGCCTGCACTCGTCCAAGTTCACGTTCTCTTCGTTGAGCTGCCGCATCCGCCAAGAAACGACTACGTTCGTCCATCTCCGATCATAATCCTTTCTCAATAATCATGTTCATGCTCAGATATGTAGTTCACAGATCAATATTGTTCTTAAATATAATCTAAGCTTCTTTCGAGAATAATCAAAACGGACTTCAGGTACACCAATAGGGATTACATACCTTATCAACTTCTGGTACATAAAACATTTTGAGAAACTATTTATCATATAAACAAGATGACAAGATTGCTGCTAGCAGAAGAGATCTTATTCGAAAAACTTAAAGCACCAATAAATGATTTGAAAGCTACACGTCATTGCAATAAGCGTTTGAAGAAAAGGACAAGCAGACTAGCTAATAATACAGTAACATGAAAAAATAACAATTATAAAAACTCTGAGAGGAATTGAAACGAAACGAAAAAAGGGTGATTAACTAGTTATACTAAGAAAAAACTATACATAAGAAGTCTGATAACACTTGGTGAACTCATTCTATAATTAGGCACCGACCTACAGTCAAGGAATTCCCTAGCGTGAGCACTGAATGACTGAAAAACTCAGAAGGCTTATGTGAAGTTAGAGGACCATTCAAACCTCAGTGTGCTGTTTCGATCCTTTATGAACGAGCGGATGTTCGTCAGAAGGTGTGGCTGCTGCTGACTTAGATGTGGATGGCTTTGAAGACGTACTGGACTTCGGCCGCATGGAGTTCATCACAATCGCTTGAGAGCGTTCATCAGCTGAAAAGAAATCGCTATCTAGAGTTCAGCGAATGTGAGGAGGGCTGATCTTAATATTTTGTGCAGCAATAATTCAAGATAACGCGGTCTCCCCAAATAAAAAGCCCTGTAATAGAGGGAGATAGACGCAAAACAAGTTAGTCTTTAAAAAGGCATGGGTAGTGAGTTTACGACAAGTCACTTCTTAAATGCAGAGGTCATAATACCCATGCGATGGAATAAATATGAAAGTGGGATGAAGAAAAGAATCTTATTTCACTTTTCGATTCCAAGAAAAATACGATACGATGCGACACGAATAAAACGAGAGCATACAGCAGCTCTATATATAAATGCATTTCGAAATATGAAATTCGAACATGACGACGAAATGTCAACATACAGAGCATGCTACTGTATTCGTCTCCACCGGTCTCCGTCGTAGCTCGTACGCTGTCCCCACGGGTAGGAAAAGAAACCCTTAAGATTATCTTTGAATTTCCATTCGCGAACAGCTTTGAGAAAGGGCCTAGTTCCAACGTGCTAAGTGTATAAAAGTAATCGTAGGGTGAAATAAGTAAACTATGTCGCTAGATACAAATAGATTCACAAAGATTTGTTGTTACTCTACCATAGGAGCAGGACTGCACACGGTCTCTTGTAGGCGGACATGAGCTGCGAGATGCATAAGAGCTCTTCTTCAATGTTTTATCATGCCGTTGCTATTCCCTTTATACCGCCACTAAAGCTCCGTTGGGTACTCTCTACCCTTCCACTACCCATCCATACTCACCCATGAGCGACCGAATTGTGGTGACCGCTGCCCGCGACACACTGGGAACCATGCAACCCACATATGAGCTGCGTTTATCAGGCAAGTCACCTTGCAGTCCACACATGAGCTTCTTCTAATATCTATGAACAAAAAACAATACTAAAGGAAATTTAAAAAATGAATTTCATCTATTTCAAGTGAATTATAATTGCTTGGCTACACTATGGCTACTGTGGTAATTCGCTTCTAAAGCTGTAGAGGCGTATGGAAGAGCTCAAAGCAACAATTCCATATCGAATTTATTGGGTAGAAGCGGTCGATAATGAATCGTGGATGGCGAGTTGACTGCAAACAAAAAAGGAAAGAACACCGCCAAAAAGCTCTAAACAAAGACTCCCCCTCTTCCCCCTGAAAAAAGGAGGGGTGGGGCCGGACGAGCTGTCGAACTAGCTTGCTCCGCCGGCATTTCTTGCTGGCTCATGCCGGCAAGAAATGCGGCTGCAATCGCATATGCACCAGCACAAATAAAGACCTATGCACCAATAAAAAACAAAGAAATTCGATAAATAAACGATTCAAGCAAGTAAAACCACGCAAAAAGCAGGCGCCATTCCTTGAAACGCGGAACAGTTTACACACAGTCGCTCAAGGACAGCAGCCAATACACAATTCGTATCGTCAAGTGGGCAAGGGGGTTGGCAGATATCCAGCCCCCCATACCTAACGGATTTCAAGGGGAGTTTTTGTTTCGCGGACACTTCCTATTCCTGACGTTCTCAGGATATCGGTAACGCGAGCGTTGGCGGTTCAGAACGTTTTGTAGGTGATGTCTTGAGAGCTCTCCCGGCACACTGGCAGCAGCATATCCTTTCTTATCTTTTCAAAAGGTTTATAGTACATAAAGTCTCAAAGTGGTTGCATTTTAGATATTCCAAGGCCGCAATATTCCAAAAGGAGAGTCTGCACACTTTTTGCATCGATGTGACTGCATCAGGACACAATGCAGAGTTACAACAAACTGTACACGATGAAGTTATGTCAGTTTGCTTAACGGATCAGTTCCCTATGCAAATTTTACCACATGGTTTGATAACTTTTGACCACTGAAGGCAAGCGTTCATGGCCGCAACCACTAAAAAATGCCATTGTTCCAAGTAATTGGAGATTTGAAGATCAAAGGTTCACAAAAATTTAAAACACGTACAGACAGCCTTCGCACTCTTGTTTCTCATTTTCCGCTTCGCCGCAATCAAATCAATCTGTCTCTTTGTTCGTGGAATCCTAATTCGCATGAAGCAGCACACCAGGACCACTGAATTTTGACGTAAGCAACTACTGGAAGCAAGAGTGCTAGGACGCAGTATAGTTGAAGGGCCTTTCACGAAACAAATTTTCACCTACCATTATGAGAGCAATAGTCGAAATAGAGAGCGAACAGATCCATAACCGTAGTGCCCGAGAAGCGACGTGTTGATCCAAGGCCGACAATTGACGTGGCATCCATCTCCTAGAAGAACTTTTCATCGAACTACTTAGCATTCGTGACAAAAAAAACTACACAGTCAACGAAGCAGAGAGAAATGAAAAAGGGAGAGATCGCTTGGAGTAGCAGAAACAGAAGCCAGAATAATAAATCAAGAGTTTTCTACGATTGTAAGGAATATTGGGACATATAGAGGGGACCGGTGCGCAAAACTAAGATTTGTGAGCGTTCAGCTAGTGCATTTAACAAGTCACATACACACGCTGGGCAACGGTTATGGGTTCATACTTGGTTATATTGAAACTTTGGATTTCTCAGTGAGGGGTCACTCGGGCAGCCTAGGAAACGAAAATAGGACTGAATATCTTAGTGAGATGTCACCTTGGGCAAGCTAGGAAACGGGATTAGGATCGGAAGAGCCACGAAAAATGCCACCAGATGTTTGTCTGTTGGCGATATTAAAATGAATCATATCCCCCGACAGAAAACACGATGTCTGAGGAGATATTACAGCGCTAATGGACAATCCCACTCTCAAATATTCCTATAGCTTTTCGGAATGTTTCGAGATTATTTGTTTTCGCTAAAAACAAGAACACTTGAAAACATGCGATGGATTATAAAGCCCTTAGGCGCAACCTAATTCTATTCATTTAACTAAAAAAAACTTCCACACTTCTCACGAACATCCACAAAAAGTGATTGCTGAATAAAAACTTTGGGACACCTTCAGAAAAAAACAGTTGATGAATGAGAACTTTGGGACATCTGCAAACTCAGCTGAGCTGCAAGCGTTTCGGAAATTGCACTAGGAAATGAGTCGCTAATGAAATGGCGTTGAGGTGGAATGAGATCGGGAAGTGTGCAAAGTCAACGATTAAATGTGGCCCGTGATCAATAGTATAGAGGTGTGAGTGGAGCGCACGAGATTTGAGTAGTGAAGTGATGAAAAAGCGTCAGAGTACGTGAACAGGGGCGAGCTGGCCGAATGTCCCCAGAGAGCCACCGGCGCCGCCGCTGTTGCCCAGTCAAGCATCACAACGACACCACGCAGTTCTGCAAAAGTACCACGCATCAGTGAACACATGGCTTAGTTAAACTGCTAGCGTTGAGCTCAAATTTAGAAGCACATATGCGAATATAAAAATGCTCAAAACAAGCGACCCTATCCCTCCCCATTAATGTAATTATTTGACGTTAATTAAATTGTTTTGTGTGGTAGCTACGGTCGTTGTCCGAGTGGAAGTCGTATTTCTTTACTATACTTTACAAGAAGACCTTTTGAAATGAAGTGACAGAAGGATAAACCCCTTTTGGGATGCGCCAAGCATGTTACTTTCACTTTGAGTCGTAGGTAGGCACTTGGATACGATTTAGCCTACACATTAAAAAGAGTCTAGCGCCATGTAACCGACCCTGGAGTGATGGAATGCTTGGTTGTCGTGGACAGCTTACGATCATGAATTTGGTTCCTAGCTATGCGCGTAGAAAGCGGTGCCACATTGATAACACCCACTTCCGTCCCTCTTCCAAAAGAAAAGGACAAAAATGAAAATTTTCGAGGACTTGCTGCATGAAGTGTCGAAGATGGGACGCGTTGCACGAAGCTCATCAACAAACTTTTCGTTCCAAAGGGTGCCGTCGATGATTGAAGTATAACAGCAAAATATTACTTAGATGTTCCTCATAAGTAGAAGAACGAAGCCCTCCTGCCCTAATATCCCCTTTTCAAAATATGACGTCATCTGCCACCGCCGCCGAGCTCAAGAAAGCCCACCTTGATTGCTCCGGCCTAGAGCGTGGTGACTTATAGGCGAAAGGGTGGCGTCTTCAATTAACGAGAGATAATATCTCTCTTTAAGAACATTTTGAAGGTGGTTTAGCGAGGTTGTGGTTCACTATTACAGAAAGCGGCTTTTTCGCGACCTTTTTCGCTGCGGGAACCTCAGGTCCACTGCTGATCATAAGTGGACCTGGAGCTCCCGTGGCGAGAAATGTTTCGCGCTGCGAAACGCGAAAAAGTCGCGTTCTGTTTTAGTGAACTACACCCGTTTAGCGATCGGATAGAATGCTTACCCTAATGGCACAAAAACACCACACCCTGATTCGAGCAGAACAGACATGATGACAATCCATCCTAAGCCTCGCCCCGAGGAGCGGGGGTGACCGCGGGTTCTGGTCTGTGCTAAAACAGATGGCTTATTTCTCCAATAGATTCAGTGTGTTTCCCAGGAAAATCAGCTCTAACCAAACAAACCCCTTTCGGCCCTGGAGATAATGTCGAATAGGACAGATCCCTCAAAGGAATCATCGAGCTTGAATCGTGGCACCGCCGTGGCAGAATCTTCTGATGGTCGTGGTGCTAAAAGATTACTTGTGGCTTTCTCTCATAGATGGAAATGTGACTCTTTTGATTTTCGGTCGGAGCACTTCCGTTTAAGACACTTAGAAAAGTATGATTCATTTCGTTTCATAAGAAGACAAATAATCTTTTTCATCTCCTTCCCCCCGCACTTCCCCCTTCCATGTATATCGGTGCAGACTGCGGTGTACCACTTGCAAATCCAGTGACAATGTTGAACTATGATCTCCAAATATGTAGTGAGGCGTAAAATCGCTAGTTCAATTGTGAAATTGGGTGACCGCTTGATCGCTATGGAACTGCACAAAACGTTTCAGTACACAGGATTCGTTCATGGCAGCCGTAAAGCAAACAAAATGATTGTTTTGTGAATAGCTATTTTTAGATGAAAAAGGTGGCGATTCCAAAAAACGAAAGCTAGATTAGCAGCACTTGTCATGAGCGGCAAATGTCAACGACTCGGTTGAGTTACATAATTACTATGGGGTGAATATTTGTGATTTTTGGAAACCGTTTTACATAAATGGGCACTGGACTTTGTTCAGAGATAGTAGTAGGGAAATCTTCACGAATTTCTGAGATTTCCATCTCTTCAAGTCGACAGACTCTAGAAATGGAACTTAAAGGGTAGATAGCAGGAGAAAGAGTTGCCAATAATAGAGAAGTAATCGAAATAGGTGGGGTGGTACACACAGCGCCTCCAAGAGGGCGGAGGTGAGGCTGGGTCGAATGACTACGAAACTTTTGCAACATTATGGTTGAATTTGGTGCAAACGGACACCTGTACTGTTCGAAACATTATTTTCCTTCCAATCCAGTTCTTGTCATCATACCTCACATACTGACGGCGACTCAGCACCTTTGAATACAAAAAATGTCAAAATATTTAAAGCTCTTTAATTAAAACCACGAAATCCCACATTGTCAGAGTACACACTTCATTTTGGCACAATCTACTGACACATAACCTCATGTAAAACTGCGCAACAAAAACAATCGTACAAATTATGCAAATTGTGAGAGCATTATATCACAGCAATACAATATACTGAGAACACTCAGTAGCAACAGAAAACCTATACAATAGCACTAACACAGCACCGGTTCATCTAGGAAACGCGTAACAACGTAAGTAGTGAGAAAAGTTGCCTTATTAGTTCATGACGATGATGATGATGATTATGATATTCAGGATGAGAACAAAATGAAAAGCACCCCCTACATATAGGGAAATCAAGCACTGCTTTTTTGAGATATCCGTTGTTGAAAGGCAAAATTACAGACCACATTGAAAGTTGCCCAAACCTGACTCCATGTCGTAAGCGAATCTTTACGAATTGCGACTGCGCTGTACAGCTTCTTATAATTACGTTTTTTACGTAATCCATAGCGCAATTAGTCAACGTATAACAAGGAACGAGCAGCAAATAACAGAAGTAAAGAGCAAAGTAAGATTCATAGCTCCTCAGGTGACTTTAAAATTACGAATGGCCGCTTCGGAAAGTGATTTAGTTTTGAGATTCTTTGAGCCGAGTCGATTTTGCGTTGAACCCACTCGATGTCCTCTGCCATATACGTAAAAATGAATTCATCGACGGTTTCCTAAACCAGCAGTGGATGAGTAAGTATCCTGACTCAAACGTGGAACATTGTCTCATATTGGAAAAAGAAGCTGTTATGGCACGATCTGTTGAAAACTAGGGCACTGTTGATGTTTTGCAAACCCAAATGTTCCTGTGTTTAAACTAGCATAAGAAGTTTTCTAAACCGATACCTGAAAGTATATGCGTGAAAGCTCATTCCGTAGATCTTTCTCTAATCGCAGGATGGGCTTAGCATGATATTCAAGCAGCGGTTCAATCTTCTGAAAAAGAAAATGCTGGGAATATCAAAATCAAGACGAACGACAAAACAAATAAAGCCAACATTTAAATAGAGGATGGGAATGAACAAGGGGGAAAGTCTGGGCACAGAGTCACAAAACGATTATCTTGGGTCCTGACTATCGAATACAATTCACAACCACAATAAGGTATATGACGTACGTACAGCAACGCATCATAAATATCTAAGGAATCGAGGAAGCGTCACTCATAAGACGCCAACTAAATTAAATTATAACATTTCCTTAACTGTAATTCTACTTCCCCATAAGTTTAGGTACTTCAAACTGCAGGTTTACAAATCTGCGATATGATTACTCAAAACTGCACCACAATTCACTCCCCCATTCCTCCCCCCCCCCCCCCGAAAAAAGACATCTCGCCATATTTCGATTAGTGCCTGAAACTTACATCTATATACCATTGACTGCTACTCATATATGTATCAGCCACACGAGAAAGCCACCCGTTCATTTCAAAATCGTCTTCTCTATACTGTTGTAGCTGCTTCCTTCGCTGCCAGAATTCATTGATCAACTCGTAGATCTAAATGAGCCAGGAATAATTGGCATAGAAACATGTGGACTAGAGATATAACATGACTCAATCCCTCCTCACCTTACTACCCGGAAACTGACATCCATATGTGATTCCCATTGTGGTTGATGGTGTACACTGCAAAATCTCACGAGAAACCGGATAATTTCCTTGAAGTGGTCTTCCTTCCTGAAGAAGAGCATCACTCAGATCTTTACTGCACATCGCCAAAAGCGCTTTACTGTGAAGGAATAGTGGCAATAATCTGATGAATCGATACACATAGGTAAAAGGATTGAGGAACTCCGCATGAAGAAATGTTCACTCCCCAGGCCTTACGCTTTTTTCAGATCAGAAAAAAGCGGAAAATCCTGAATATTTGAGTTAGCGCTCAGGAGTCTGACTCACCAGCACAGTTTCCATCGACATCGCGTGTTCTATCCGCTAGTGATGGAAAACCGCTATCAGGAGCTAATTCACAAAGGATGGCAAAATGATCATATCGGGACCAGCCGGCAAGAATAAGGCCCTGAATGATGGAATTAAGCGTGCATTTTAAAATAGAAATTTACAGTCTCGACCAGCAACTACCTGTAACATGTCAAACTCGTTGTAATTTCTTGACAGCTGCTCAACCCATGCCTCATGATTTCTTATGTAATGTACAGGATTCGAATCCCTTTCATCTTGTCCTGTCCATGCGCATCCTTTCCCCACGCTGAGATACCCCATACGCGACGGAACGGCTAAACACAGTAATTTTAGTTATTCTGACTGCACAATGCACTACAGTAGACGAACAAAGCAAGCGGTTTCAACGCATTTCACAATACCACACAGCATACCTTTAAACTCAGCCACGTAGTTTTTGGCAAATATAAGTCCAAATCCTCTGCGTAGCTCCAGATTACAGGTTCTAACACTTCAGTCATGTGGTACGCGGTGAGATCGAATTCCATCGCATGCCCAAACATATCATGCCAAGCTAACACAGTTGTCTATAAATGTTATATAATTATAAATCTTCGTAATAACTTCGTCCCTCCTCTATGGTCAAAATTATTCATCGGACCTACGGCGTATTCAGAAACATCTAGATACGTGCTGCACACCAAAAACGCTCGGCATAGGAGCCAGTGATGAAGCGGCATACGGATAACGAGGCAATTCAAAGCGCTTCAGGTTACAAGGTCGCACCCAGAGGTGGTCCAAGCGTTCCTGTACGTCACTTTCCATGATTGGCTTTTTTGAGATTAGTCACTCGTCACTGATTGTTATCCTCGACACTGTCACAGCAGAACTGACGGAAGCAGTAGCCCATATTCAAGGGTCCACGAGCAGTTAGAAGCGCCACATCTTCTCTCACGACTTGCCAAGTGAACTTAACCCATTGCGTACCGCGTGCTGCACATGGTGCAGCACGGGTTTTTGAAGGGTATTTTCGACATTTTCTCGTGCTCTAATCTAATAGTAATGATAAACTGAATCCGGAGAATAACATACAGACGTGGGACTGCGCAATGAGAAGGAATTCCTGAATTACTGGTATTTGTTGTGAAAAACTCCAGTTGCACTCTCTCAATTTTTTCGCTAAATTGTAGTAAAAGTGAAGGAACGGCTAAGCGACAACTTCGAGCATATAAAACAATTAAAGCTACTACGTTTCAATCACTTTCAGCTCTTTTTCCACTTGTTATTCTTCAAAACTCTTTTTCAATTCTGTCGCATTTTCGGTTACCCTACTCCCTACATCATGCAATAATAACTAATTCCACTGTACAAAAATAAACATGAAATACTGCAAATGTGTAAGATATATGCGCAGTGCTTATATAATAGGTGTTTGTAATTTAAATGAAAGTTTTATTAGGATCGCGCAGCAAGCGGGGTCCTAATAGCGGCTCTGGCTCACCGCCGTCAGCCAGCAACCAAAAAACCCGCGGTCCGGAAAGGTTTAAAGTTTTTGACCCGATTTTTGTTAGACAGAAGCGATCAGCGAAGCTTCGAATAATGAGGGCGTTCCCCATGAGGATCCTTTGTGAGCTCAACGGTAAATTAACACTCAAAAGTTTACCATTCTGTGATAAGACATCACCATGGAAGCTAAGAGGGCGGTTCGACAAGGGAATCATCCTGGCCACACTTTTCGGCGTTGCTTTCGAAAATGAAGAGATGACAAGAATGAGAAGAAATGTGAAAAAAGCCGGCAGCCAAACAAATACACCATCTCCATCTCTCTGCTGCATATTGTGCTTGAATAGCAGATGAATGTGTGTGCGAAAAGGCCGGTTAGCAGTTGAAACTACCTGAGACGAAGTTTATGAGGAGCGTGCTAGTTTCCTATGACCCATTCGCATTCGAGAGAACGAGCATTTTTGGATGCTCCATCTAAGTGTAAGGCTGGTGTCAGAGTCCGCGATCCGTCGCAGGTTTCGCGCGATTTACGCGATTCACGCGACGGGTCACGGAAATCACAAGTGCCCGATCAATACTGCAAGGTGTTCTCCAATCCTGCCGCCACTTCTGCTTGATAGTGATGGCTGAATGACGACTGCTCATGATTCCACTTGTTTCATATTCAGTGTTTCAAATGTTCAAATGGGGCACTTGCAATTTTTGCGATCCGTCGCGTAAATCGCGTAAATCGCTTGAATCGTGCGAATCGCGGACTCTGACACCAGCTTAACTAGGTAGGGAACCGATGAGAAGAACTGGACCAAACAACGCAGATAAGGGAAGCAAAGAGGACTTCGAGGGAGTAGTGAAGAGAACAAGAGCATACGATCTTACGCTATATACGGAATCTTGAAATCAGTCAACGACCAAGGAACAAATAATCTACTGTTTTGCCAAAGAATCAGAAGATTAGGTGGGCCGAAGGAAGTCATGCGATTTTGCGATGACCGTCGGATCAGCGTGATTACAGACTGAATTCTTCGGAACTTCAAACGAACACCATGGTGCAGGCTCGATGGTTCGCTTCTTCGTAAAAGCTTTACACCAATGTAGTGAAGCGCTGCACTCCCCACGAGAGAGGAAGTTTATATGAATACTCTAGTAGGCAACAGCGATGAATGGAAGTATTGCTAGCGCTGGGAGAATTACATAAGCAAAGTAGGTCATATTATACAGGCTATACGTTACCTACGCCGTTTCGTTTACAAAATAAATAATAGTTTGAGTAACCTTGCAAAGACGACTTGAACATCTGCATCAGCTGACTTTTGATTGTGAATTGCTCCTGAGGAAGCTAGTAGCCTAATGAAATACTTGGTAGGCACGGAATACGAATCTGACTATCGAATGACCCTTCTCCAAACTAAAATAAACCTTAACAGTGTTAGTAGGCTGGTGTCGAGTCCCGCCGAGCCGCTCTGGCCCCCCCAATTTGCGCGTTTTCGCGAACCTTGCGCGGTTTTGCGATTTGGCGCGATTTTGTGCGAACGGCCGATGGGATCCAGGAGGGCCGCCCCCCGATGATACTGCGAGGTGTTGTTTAATCCTGCTGCGAATTCTCTTGGTAGTAAAGATTGGAAGACGAATGTTTGTGGTTCTACTTGTTTCATGTTCAATGTCTATTAGTTCATTGAAATGCTCTTGAATCGTTCCTATTTTTTTTTCAGGAATCAAACGAAACCAATCACAAAAATTGCAAGTGCCCCATTTGAACAATTGAAACACTGGATATGAAACAAGTGGAATCATGAGCAGTCTCCATTAAACATAACCATCAAGCAGAAGTGACGGCGGGATTGGAGAACACCTTGCAGTATGGATGGGGCACTTGTAATTTCCGTGACCCGTCGCGCAAATCGCGAAAATCGCGCAAATCGCGAAAATCGCGCAAATCGCGAAAATCGCGAAATCGCGAAAATCGCGCAAATCGCGCAAAGGATCGCGGACTCTGACACAGCCTAACTGGTCGTATAACTTCGTATAATGTATGCTATACCCGTAATTACGGGCTAGTGAATTGTATTGGAGAACTTAACTCGGGCGGATTTCTACTAGTCAACAAAAGGGCGTTGAGCCAGTATAGACCTCGGAAACTCACTGAATATTTGTCCTTAATGTATTTTGCAACTCTGGAAATGTGCCAAAGCATCAAACCGGTCACGTGACCCTTGTCGTCCCATTTCAATCAAGCTGGCGTTGCAAACACCTATCTGAAAACACTCCATTTACGATTTGTATATGCTAAATTTTTGGTCTCAACTCCACAAGTGGTTTGAAGGCAGGATTTACAATGAAAAAAACAACCCCTTTCAAATAGAGTAAGGAGGGGACTGGTACAAGAAAGAAGGAAAAACCATGAGAGCGGAAGAAGAATAGAACTTTTCCATGACGATTGCGGCACAGAAAATAAACCGAAAAATCGCCTCTTCCTAGCCATGGGGATTGCTCGCTCTCGAGAGATTCATCGTTATGTCTCTTGATGCTAAAGTCCCTCCTTGCTATTGTCACTCGTCGATTAGACCTATGGAGGTGTGTTAGATAGTCGGAGGCGTACCGGCCGACTGCGCAAGAGTAAGGCCATGCTAGATCACTGAGATCCAAAATCGTTACCCTGCCAAATAGTGTCAGTCCGAACCCTATGGGTCCCGCATGTTCTCACTAGGCAAATTTTGCCCTTCTTCGATCCTTAATTTTATGTGGATTTCCTTTGTAGGAGGGGGAATAATATGAAACATAGAAACGCAACGGAAGAATATATACAAAAATACAGCGCGCCAGACCTGGAAAGCCTCTCGGCCCATATGGAAGTCGGATCCCGTGTTTCTGGGGATGCACTTCCGCAACCTTGGTCGATCATATCGGGTCTATCATTCACGCTTGCAGGTTCGGGAGCATATACCTAAAAAAATCCGGCTATAACCCCTATTGCAAGCTAGGAGGAGACCTCAAGTTCATAATTTTAGGGAGATACCATGACCTGTGGAGGAATTCTCATCATGGCGAAGTGCTCCAACTCCGATCATTCAGTGACCATGTTTTGTACAGAGGAATCTGGGTAAGTGATGACGTTGGCTCTTTCAATATGTCTCCACTGGGACCATTGAACACCATCGTGCTCCGCAGACAAGATTCAGAATTTTTCAGGCGCACGGTCCGATCAATAGAGTACGATTTCATCACGTACAGATGTTGCTGTGTAGGAAACGTGTATCCCCATCGACTCAGATACCCAGTCGCTTTATTCGATTCAGTCAGGAAAATTTAATTTTTTCTTGTGTGTGTTTTGCGTAAAGAATTTTCGGCCTGAATAGTGCATCAGAAGAAGACTTGCAGCAGGCACCGATAAACTACTTTTTGAAAGCTCCTCCTTTGAGATCCAAATGTACGATCCTACGATGTGGAATAAATTTCCCATTCGTGTTTAGATGGGGGTAGGAGTCATCGTCTGACTCGGGACGAGCATTGTGCGACTGCTTTCCGAAAACATCATTTGCAGCCACACGCACATAGAGGATTGTGCGTGGTTGATCTTGTTCCTTTGTAGCACTAAATTCCCCAAGAGGGATGAACTTCAAAATAAATCAGCAACAAAGGAAAACCTACACAGCATCTGGTCCATCAACTCGATCAGGGTCAACACCATCACCATCTTCATTTTTTATTATCGGCAGTGGAGCACCTTCCGCTTGAGCCCCGGCACCATGGTCATGATTTCCATATTCCTTGGATTTTCCCGGAAGCGGTGCCAGTGGCTAGTATCCTGAAATACTAGAAATAATTAAGCATTTACCTCTGCAGCAGCAATTTGCTCTGCCTGGATCCGTTTGAAACAATATGAAATTTTCGGCAAGCTAAACGGAAATGTGATAGGAGAAACACCGTTATTACCAGTCACGAGCGAGAAAGAAATGAAAACAAATGGAAAAGGAAATATACAGAAGGGGTATCAATAAAAGATGAAGCACCCTTATTTTGAAGAATAAATTGACAGCATTCAATTTAAGGATACCAATCAGCTCAAAATACATTCAGCTTCTGCGCAAAATTAAGGAATTCCGTGAAATATTGCAGAGTGAGTACGTATAAAATGTGCCAAACAATTTGCAGTTTAGGAGCGTAAGTGATTACGTGGAATTAAACAGATGCACCGACTAGGCGATTTTACACTAAGGATAAGAGAGATTAGATCAAAACATGGTCTTCTGGCGACTGTAAGAACAACAATGAGAAAAATCAATGTTTGGTCTTCTTGAAACATGGACATTTCGAATACCGTAAGGATCTTCACTACCAGGCTCGTAGCGGGTGGACTCTTTACTTGTCAACGTTTCGACAATAGCTCGTCAGCAGGGCCAGCGCTTCCGCCGTCTCCAACAGCCGCTTGCTTGTGGTCAGCAACTATGTATTGGAAAATTTAAGCACCGCGAACAAGGAGGCCGTTGGGCCGATGTCATAGTTTGCGAATCGAACGTTGCGCCAGCGAATCGAACTTTGCGCCAGCGAATCGAACGATGTACCAGCGAGTCGAACTAGGTACCAGCGACTCAATAGTGGCGGGACCCAACGTTCAAAGGAAGCCCGCCACTTTCAAACAGTGTCACTTGACAGTGGACGCGAGGGATCGGAGGTATACACCGAGATGCTCGCCTCTTTGAAAAAATTTCCCGCGCGCGCACGTTCAAATATACGTAGCACTGGAGCGAGCATTCAACTAGCTAGAGTGATTGGAGACACTGCAATTTCGTGCCTTTTCCCATATTTTGAGTTTGCTCTCCGCACTGGTACCACCGCAGGCAAGAGTATAGATATTCTAGCAGGAGAGCAGGAATGATAACTAGGGGATGCGGTCGTTCGCACGAGAGTACTGGTAGGAAGCGTCTTTGGATAGTAAGGTAATGAATTGGAAGCATGGGAGTTTAGACACCACCACAAATGTACCTCTTCTTGATCCCACAAGAATCGATCATCGTTTTTCCTATCTCTTGTAGCATTGAATTGGTATTTTGCAAGACATTTTTTAAGAAAATGATAAAATGTCAGTATGTTGACGCTAATCTTCGTTAAGTCCACACTGGAGGCAACTCAGAGCGATTTATCGGGGATTTTTTCGCTGCGACTGCTTGGATTTTGTGCTTCCATCCAGTTAGTCGTGAGAGCAAAGCTCTTCACTCTTTCAAATATCTACAGCGGTGTTTTCTAAA